TGGCTAGAAAGATAACCAGGTAGGCCTCACTGAGGAGATCATTCTTTAAATTGGGGGGCTACCACCAAGAAGTCCTTTCCCTCATTGCCGCCTTCTGAACTTCCCTTGGAGGAGGGCCTTAGATGCTGAACATTGTGTGTTGGTAGGTTCATGGTGGGAGAGCTGCTCCATCAGGTATCCCGAATCATGTAGGACTGTAAATCAAAACTAGCACCCTGAACTAGACTTGGAAACATACAGGCAATCAGTGCAAGCAGAGCAGAATCAATGTTATATATTCAGACCTTGTAGTTCCTGTTATTAATCTAGCCACTATGTTTTGCACAAGCTGCAACTTTTGAACGTCTTTAGATGCAATCCCATATAGAGTGAATTGCTATAATGTGACTCAGAGTATAGACAGCTGAACCCAAGTCCCTCTTTCAGGAGGATGTAGCCTCATCCAGAACAGTTTGAATGACTGCCATCCTGTCAGAAGAACCACCTAATAGCGGCATCTCAGCCTTGTCTGAATTCGGTTTCAGATTTTATAAGCTGTTGTCCAGTCCCTTGTTGCAGCTGGGCACTGATCTCACACACCCAGAGCTTCACCTGATGAAGATGGGAAGGAGAAATAGAACTAAATATCTGCAGCATACTGATGACAGCACATTCCAAAACTCCAGATAACCACACCCAGCAATTTCATTTCAATAGTAGATGCCATGGAGGACAGAACTGACCTCTGCAGAATCCCATATTGGAAAGTCCATTGCTTTGGGAAAGCAGCATTTCCCAGAACCAACTATCTATTGGCTTGAGTCAACTATCTGATATCTTGCCAAGAGATGCATCTTCAGAGGATAGCCTGTTGTCTTTTTCATGACCTTGCATACATTTCAGCAAAACTTAATTGGCTTTCTTTAGCCAAAAGGGATGGAAAACCACTTTGGTAGGCTGAATCTATCCATCCATCTCTCCATCTATCCAGTAAGGTGCCTGATAGAAGAACACATGCTTTATTTAATAAAGGGCAAGTTATTACTGTGCCTAATCTTATTCATGTGTGTGCTGTTAAAATATGTATTTGTGAACATGAGTTGACATGTTTCTGCAACCAAATTATAAATGAGTAGAAGACCCAAAAACGTCAATTTCTGTGGAGCAGTTAATGTTTCTACTTGTTTCTCCTCTTACTTTTCTTCTCAGTCTCTTCCTTTGCATTGTTTTCCTGCCTCCGGCAAATGGGTTCTCCTAAATATTTGTCTCTTTGTTCCATTGTTGTACTAACCCTGTTGTATCTGTCATGAATCTTCAAAGGAGCAGAGAGGATCAGACATTACAGTTGTGTTTTTAATGCAATGAAGCAGTCTTTTTGTGCTTGGCTTATACAAGCAGCTGAAGAAATTTTAATTGGAGTTCATAGTATTGCAACTCATTTCATTTAGCTGAAAAAGGTTGCCACAGTGCATGAGCAGAGTGTCTCCCAATACTTTCTTTACATCCTTTCGTTTAAAATCTTAAACCTTAAAGTGCTGCTATGCCTTTTTAATAGCAACAAAAGGAACTGTTATTTTTCGGCATGGGTCATATAGAACACTTCCTGCACTCTTAATGGAAAAGAATAGGAGTAACTTTTGGGATCATGTACTCCCTCCATCTTTTTAGCATAAACCATATTGTAACGTTATGTCTGCAGTTAGATCATTTCCCTTAGACCAGATTTTCAAACCAGTGACTATTTCTTTCTTAAATCTGATCAAGTTTAGTGCTTGGTGCCATTGCAGACTTAAACCTATACTGTGATTCAAGTGGAAAATTGAGTGAAAGGAAAAGTTTTGGAAATCAACAGACTGTGAAGGAGGGGGAGTTCTTGAGCTTGCCTGGTACTTGAGTGTTAAATGATTAAGAACTTGGGAAACAATGTGTTTATACTGAGCTATACTGAATAAATTCAGTGATCTGTCTAATGCTGATAAAGCAACAAAGGGGCAAAGCATACATTACTTGAAAGATGTATTTGCTTCTCTATCTTGTTTGTTTTTATTCTAGTGTAAGGAAAGGGCTCTTGGTCTAGATGTATGCCATTGTGTAGGGTTAAGGTTGGTCTTATGTCCTTCATGTTCCACTGTAGTACTTATCTGGATCAGGGAGGATTATAGTGCCAAATGTATGTCTTGATGGATCACTATTTGCTCTAGAAATGACAGGTGCAGAAGTCTGTCTCTGAACTGAAACCTCATTTCTGGGAAGGGTTAAAGCCCTCTTATTTTCACACCATAATTCCAACGCTGGTTCGTTCCCTGTATGTACACTAGAGTGCAGAAGAACAGCTGGCACATCCATCGTTAAAGTTCTGTATGTTTTTGTACGTTTTGGCTCAAAAATCCCCTTTGAAGGGCAAACTAGAGGTAGCAGGAAGGGAAGGGGAAGGAAGTGGGACTTACCTTAGTTTTCACAATGTCTTGCATCATCAGCCCAGCTTTGTCTGGCATGACTTAAAAGAAACATTGGAGAAGTAGTGTGATATATGAGTTGTGAGTTCCCCATTCAAGATCCTGTATTTGCTAAAAGAGTATTTTGCTAAACTGGCTCTGAAGTTCTTCTTCATGGTCTCTGTGAATCACACATAGGGGCTTGTGTGCCTGTGCAACACCTAGAGCCAGGAAAAACTTGAATAGCTAAGTACAAGGAAGGGGGTTCCTACCCAGTTCTTTTTCAACCATCATCATGACAGATTGATGCTTCTTCTGTGGCATATGGAATAAATACAGTTGGTCAAAAGATTCACTGTCTGGAAACAAATTTCAGTTTCCTTACCTGAGTTGTAATTCTTTTAAATTAATAATTCTAGGTTAGTTGAGAGAAGATACAGAATCATATAGAGCATAACACTAAGTTAATGTGTGATATTAAGCAATACTGATGCTTCCTTCCTGATCCTAAGGAAACTGTTAGAGGAGTCCCAGTTCATCTGTCTACCACTGAGCATGGTTTATTATGTGTTTTCCTTTTGTTTGTTTGCTTTTCATTGTTTTTAAGCATTCTCTCTGCAATCTACTTGTCTAGGCTGAAAGTAAGAGCCACTTCCAATGTATTTGTCAAATGGCACTTGCAACCTATTTTCTTTCTAATTCACTGGTCCAATTTTTGTAGAGAGTTTGGTTGCCAGCAGTGCATGCTCTTTATGGAGGCCCATTTTGGGGTGTTGATCCTGTACAAAACTGGCTTGGTGTATAGGAAGACATTTGTTCCTATTCCTTGTTCCTTGTTCATGGGTTCCTACCACTGAGATGCATTTGACAGCAACTGCAAACAACACATTTGAAGCAACTCTTATTTACCTAACACGATCAGTAGACCTGAATATGATTTTCACCATATTAGACCTAAAAATATCCCTGTTACTATACTTTGTTCTAGGACGAGTTTATGCACTCAGTAGAGTCAAGCAGATTTGCTTTCCCTCTCTATTTTGGTATACTTCAAGAAGAATACTATCATTTACTTCTCTTAATTGCATCAGTTGGCCTTTAGTTTGAAGTAGTAACGTCAGCAGTCTTCCTGAATATTCAGTGTGAACATGGACTCTTGTGTACTTAATGTATGCAGGTATATGGAAGACCCGGTACTGTTAATGGAGTGAGATACGTTGATGGATGTCCAAACTGGAACTTGAGTTTTGTGCTGAAGTGTTACTGTATGTTCTAAAAAACCTCGGTGGAAAATGAACTCGTGCTTGTTAGAGAACCACGAGCATATCTACAAAAATAGTGCAGTTTCTTTGTCAGTTATAACCCCTTCTCTGTTTCGTTATTTACATTTTTGTAGAGAGATTTATGAAGTGGCAGATTGTCTTCTGATCATTGTCAGCATTTTCCTTCTGTTTTGCAGTAAAACCAGCACTACAGGCCTGCATTAGCATACTTCCATGCACCAATATTTTCTAGGACTTCCTGCCATTTTGGATTATAATATCAGAGTGCTAAGAAGACCAGATTTTCAAAATGCATGCACATTAGGCATGGCATTGTGCTACAGCTTCAGTGTATTTATTAGGTAATTGAGATAAGTAGACATTCGTGTAATCAAGCATCATATTCTTGTGCTCTTAGGCTGCAATGTTTCAGAAAGACTGATGTATCTGTCCATGCAAATGCCATCATGATTATTTCACGGATAAGGTTGCCTCTTCCATTCAGTGGTAATGCTGTGTTTCAAACGGTTAGCGAAATGATACCTAAAATATTTTCCCTTACTGTTCAACAATAAGACTCAAGCTGCATGAGCTGATTGTTGACTCCAGCCTCTGGATGTGAATGGTGTGTTACATTGTGATGCCACCCTGTCTGGCAGTGTGGGAAGGCCGGTAGATAGGACAGTGGCTCAGAGTGTCGGCTAAATGGACCCATTGGAACTAGCTTTCCTTGCCTTGGCTGTGGAACAGTGCCTCTCTGTGTTAGTGTGCTGTCATATGATTTTTTAAAAAATAAAATATCTACACCTTCTATTTGTGAAATGTGCCACTTGCTGTTTTCGCCAGGTTTCTGGTAAAATTGATATATCCTGTGTGATTTCTTCTGTTTTTATGCATTCATTTTTCCCTTGAAACTTAACATACTGAGATAAATCTAAAAATGGATACATTGTTTGGCATTTAGCAGACACTTGTTTTGTTTTAACACATGAAGGCGTATTTTCACTTCTAGTTGTTTCACACTGCTGTTTTTCGCATTGCTTTATAGCTTGTTTCTTATTTCAGCTTAATAAACACAGACCACTGTTTTGGGTCGGTTTGTTTGTTTTGTTTGTTTTTTGTTTTTGTTTTGATGGGGTAAACTATTTTCATTTACACTGTTCCCCTTGGTCTGTTCTCTTCTGTTGCTGCATTCTGAATCCTCATAGCATGAAAAAAGCATAGCACACGGTTTGGATCTGACCCATCATTTCATTTTTATATCTCCATGAAGGGATTCTATCCTGGTTGTGAAAGTTTCATAAAGTACTCTTTCATTTTACAGCTGATTGCTGTGTACGATGAACAAGATTCACTTCCCAAGTCTGATGACACCAATGGTAGTTTGATGGATGGAAACAGCCCAGATGCTTTTGAGACTGATGTAGCTGCCCAGCTGGCTGCATTTCAGCCAATTGGAGGAGAAATTGAAGTGACACCTTCTGCTCTAAAGCTAGGTAGGTGGCAACGATTTTACATTTTTTAAATTGTATATTGCATGGGATGAGAGGTGTGTGCTGTTGCTGCACTTATCTTGAAATATTAATCATCTTCAGGGTTTGCTTATGTAAGTATGTATGCATTTAATTACATTTATAATCTGCTTTTTTCTTAAAAAGAACTCAAAGTGGCTTCCATCATTCTCTTCCTCTTGCTATTCCCACACTGACCACCTTGTGAGGCAGGTTGGACTGAGAATCTGTGATTGGCCCAAAGTCACCCAGTTGGCTCCATGTCTGAGCATGGACTAGAATCCAGCTCGCCTGAGTCCTGGTCCTGTGCTCTTAACCACTACACCACACTTGCTTACGTATGAGGGGCGTTCAATGTATTCTTGGTATCAGGTTGATTTGCTATTGATGTGGGTAATTTAATTATTTCATTAGCTAGTGGCACTATCTGAGGGTATACATGCAAAATTTCAATTAAGTGTGATCATTAGTTTCCTAGTAATCCTCAATGAAAGACAACCATGATGACTGACGCGACAATGATGAAGAAAATCGAGGACCATGCTGTGATTAAGTTCCTTACAAAACATGGAAAAAGTCAAAAAATCATTCACGAAGAGATGGTGGCCATTAACCAGGACTCTGCACCTTCATTATCTACTGTTCAAAAGTGGTCAAGTGAATGTAAAAGGGGTAGAGAAAGCATTAAAGACGACCCTCACTCAGGTGGGCCGGTTACTGCCACTATGAAAGAAAATGTGAAAAAAATTGAGAAACTTGTATTGGAAGATGCCTGAATAAAAATCAAAATGTTAGCAGAGATGACAAACCTATCCGTTGCTACCATATTTACTATTTTTCATGACCATTTTAACCTTTCAAAGGTCTGTGCAAGATGGGTGCCATGAATGCTCATGGCACCTCAGAAACAAGTACGAGTTGAGTGCTGTAGGGAGTTTTTAGAGCTCTGTGGTGAAGATCCATCGAGTATTTTCAACCGGATTTTTACTGGAGATGAAACTTGGGTTCATCACTATGACCCTGAAAGTAAGCAGGAGTCCATGCAGTGGCATAAAAAAGGTGCTGACCCTCCGAAGAAATTCAGAGTCACTCCATTGGCTGAAAAATCATGGCCACAGTGTTTTGGGACTCAAAGGGAATTTTATTGATCGAGTACATGAATAAAGGTGAAACCATAAACGCAGCATCTTATGCAACCACTCTGCATAATTTAAGAGAAGCAATTAAAGAAAAAAGGCGGGGAAAACTGATCGCTGCTGTGTTGCTTCTTCACGACAACGTGCCTGTTCACACGGCGCTTGTTTGGAAGGCTGCTGTGTGAGATTGTGGTTTCAAAGAAATAAACCACCCACCCTATAGCCCAGTCCTGGCCCCCAGTGACTACTACCTATTCCCGAATTTAAACAAAGATCTTCGTGGAAAGCGATTTTCTGACAATGAAGAGCTCAAGGCGGCAATTAATGCACATTTTTTAGACAAGGAGGAAGGGTATTTTTTACAGGGAATTGAAAAGTTAATTTCTAGATGTAATAAGTGTATTGAAGTTATGGGGGATTACATTGAAAAATAAAAATTATTTCAATTTATTATTCCTTTTTCTTCATGCTGATACCGAGAATACATTGAATGCCTAGTATGAGAAAATACACTGAAAGCATCCTCTCATATCATCTTGCCTGCACAGTAAAGTCACCGTTTGATGTCTTTCCCAAATCCCACCTCAGGTGGAGGGAGGGGGCGCTCTTGGTGTTGCAAATGCCCTCCCCAAGGAGATAGGAATGCTGCCATTTTTGCTATCTTTTAGATACCAGGGAAAAACTTTTAATTCATTCAGATCTTTTAAAGCATTTGTAGATCTTAAATATTTTGAAAATTTTGAATTTAAATGCATTTTATATGCTGGTTGTTCTATATAAAAATATTGTGCATAATCTCTGTGCATCATACATTTGGACTCTTGTGCCTGTGCGGAGCCTTTTTTTTTTTTTTTTTGAAAAACTTCCATAACTGTGGAATTTTGGAAGAAGCCCGACACTCAACTTTCCAGTCGGCATGTCTTTGGTGGGTTTCTACCTGTTTCCTCAGTTCTCTCTTACTAGCTACCTGAGAGTTTCTACTCCAGATATCTCACAGTACTGAAAAGGAATGGAGAACTCTGACAATTCTAGAGCTGAGGAATATGAATTCCTATATCTTACTACAAACTGTTTGGATGACCACTTTGTCCACAACCAACATTGTGTGGCTTCACTTATTCAGCACAGCTGGAATAGGCCAGTGTTCCTTAGGAGATGCTTTCCTGGGGCGAAGTTCTGCCTCATTCGTCTGTTTCCTCTAATCACCCAAGTGTTGATGAAGATCCAGTTGGATACCACAGACAGGCTTCATAACACCCCTTGTTGGCTGAGGCAAGTTTTGTTCGTTATGTCCCTCTCCCATCCAAACAAAAGTACCTTCCACTGATCCCAGTCCAGTTGCCTCAGGATTGAGGCAGGCATGCACATTCTGAAACTGAATGCTTAGAGGATTCAGCCCTAACATTCAGTAGCAATTTACTTGTCAGGCTTGGTTTCATCTTGATGCATCAAGAAGACCTGTGATGCAACTCTCTTACAGCAGAAATTTTAAGTCATCTTGCTCTTTTGCTGCTAGAGGAGGATTCAGTGCAGGCCAGTATTCAGTTCCTCAGGTTTGGCAGGTCTTACTTTCCCTTTCTGAGAAAGCTCTCAAGCCATCTCCTGGAGTGTTCTTTCCAGCTATCTCAGATTAGGCTTCTCAGTAGTCTCTTATGCTTTCTGCAGATGATCCATCAAAGGAAGGAGCAATATTATGCTGCTGGAACATTTCCCTTGTTCCCGTGTGGAGCTTGTCAGTTGTCTCCTAGGCTTTCACAAGGAAACCCTTTGAACCACTTGCTACAATTGATTTCCATTTGCTGTTTTGGAAAGAGGCCTTTCTCATCACTATCCCGTCAGTTCATGGAATTAGTGGGCTTTCTGCTCTCATAATAGACCAACCTTATTTGATTTTTCGTAATGACAAGGCAATGCTCCTACCATTTTTTTTTTAATTCCAAGGTGGTGTCAAGCTTTCACCTTGATCAGGATGTTATACTGCCAGCATTCTTCTCTGCACCGACCTTGCCACTCAAATCCACTCTGCATGCACTCGATCTCATGTAAGCTCATGCATTGTATAACTTCCCAACCAAGTCCATTTGCTGGTTGCTGTGACTTTTAATGTGCTATGGGGATAAGAACAGAGGCATGCCTGTCTTGTTAGTTCATGGGATAGCAACTTCCAAGACCTTCCAGAGCTCATTTCATTGGCAGAGTGGCAGTATCAGTTGTGTTCTGGGCCAGCAATCCACTACCAGAGCCACGCCAGACAATGAAATGGTGAAGGTAATCTACCTTTATCCAGCAGTATGTGCTGGATGTTTGTGGAGGAGCTACCTGTTCTTTTGGAAGAGCAGCACTTTCTTCAACACTGCGCTCTTTCTCCTTTAGGAAGTTAGCTTACTAGTGACTGATCTGTGAGATGCAAAGAGATCATGAAGAAGGAAGAGAGTTGCTTATCCTTGAGTGGTCTTCTGTACATTCACACCATTTGCGTATCCAGTCTCACATTGGTATTTCAAATGGGTGCACTGTCAATGTTTATGTCAATGCCCATACTGAGGTTGATGCTGAGATTTCTCTCAGTTCCAAGGCCACAGCAGGCAATCACAGGGGAACAAAAATATAGGCAGGAACCAACTAAGAACATGAGAACTGGAACGGGGAAAGGATTCCAGCGAAAACACATCAGCTATGGACATGTCCGAAGATGAGGCTTCAGGCAGCTGCAGAGTCCATATGTTTGATTGTACAAATGACCACTCTAAGAACTACAATTGCCGATAAGCCTATTCCTATTCCTGACCTATTTGTTAGATTTTTCTGAAGTTCCTCTAAGTCATTCATATCAGGCAAAGTATTAAAAAATTGAAGATCTGCAACATGTATAAATTGTGCCCATTAACCACATTTTAAATGTAGTAAAGTCTGCTTTTATGTAATTTTTATTTTGTATAATTTATTGTTTTATTTTTGTTAGAAAAGTGGGGAACAAGGGGGCAAGGCACTTCCTTAGTCAGTAGATCCTGTCTTCTGAAATTTCATCAAGATGCTCAGCAAACAACTCCACTATCAGAAGATGTGGAAATGTTAATAAAAACGGAAAAGAAACCTGGCAGTATTAAGAAGATGAATGAATGTGACTATTGCCAGATTTGGTGGATGTTTTATGCTTCTGTAGTATTGCAGCGTAGACAGAGCTCTGATCATCTTTCCTGTTTGTAATCTGTTAAAGTTAAAACATCTCTTTACATTGGATGTTAAAGGTTTTAAGAAATCACAGTATGCAATGCTGCAGCACTTACTAGCTAATTCCAGCTAAGTCAGTAAAGGAAGAAGGGGTATCTGCTAAAAGTTTAGCACCTCTAAAGCTGTCTAATAAAACTAATGAAGTGATTTTAACCCTGGAAACAATAATTTAGGGCATGTTCTTGTATTTCCATATGGGGTTTTGTCATTGTGAAGACAAAGGGAGAATTTGTAGCATTGTTCAATGTGAGAGAGGTCTAGAATCTTCTGCTGCTTAACATATATAGTTCCCCTTTTGCACTTTATGCTCAGAGAGGGACTGAGTGATAAATTAATCATTTTTTACCATTCATCACTGCCTGTTATGTTTATTTCAGCCTGTTTCCTTTGTCCTTGACTTGCTCTGTTGCGTTTGTGTATGTCAGCATAAATGGTGTGAGTCAAGGATATAGCTCCAGTCTATAAAATTTTGTGGTAGGTTAAGGATATAGGTGCTCTGTCAATTACCACATAATTTTATTGGCTATTAAGATAGTAAGTAGAAAGAAATTATTAGGAAAGCTTATTAAGAAAATAGTATACATTACTGATTCACTTGTTCATTGTCAGAGTAATCTT